GCTCCTAGCCACTACCATTCTACTTTCTGTCTCTATGATTTTGACTATTCTAAGTATCTCATATAAGTGGAATCATACAATATTTATCTTTTTGTGACCAGTTTATTTCCCTTAGCATAATGTCCTCAAGGTGCATCCGTGTTATAGCATGTGTCAGAATTTCCTTCCTTTTTTAAGCTGAATAATATTCTGTATGTTTACTGCATTTTGCTTATCCATTCATCTGTCAGTGGACATTTGGGTTGCTTCTACCTTTTAGCTGTTGTAAATAATGCTGCTATGAACATGGGTATAAAAATATCTCTTTGAGTTCCTGCTTTCCGTTTTTTGGGGTATATACCCAGAAGTGGAATTGCTGGATCATATGGTAATTCTATTTTTAACTTTTTGAGGCACTGCCATACTGTTTAAACCATGCATAGAGGTGGCACCATTATACATTCTCACCAACAGTACACAAGGGTTTCAATTTAAAATATCTTGGTTTTTTGTTTTTTTTATGTCAGGATCTAAATAAAATTAAACATGCTCATGTAGCTAAACAAAGCGCATCTGTGAACTGGATTCACCTTCAGCACACCATTTTTCTATCTCTAAAACCCGGGACGAGTTAGCTCTCTTTAAATGGAGGGTTAGGAGAGCAGTCCATCAGAAAAGGTCAGTTTAGACAGGCTTAGAAGATTAGGACTCAAAGTATGAGATGGGTATTGAAGAAAACAAGCACCTGGAGCTAGAAGAAAGGTAGCCAGTGCAGTGCTGCGGACAGAGCTCAGTGGGCTTCCTGCCCAGCCGGTGAGACAGGACCAGAAGGGGCAGTTTTACATTGAAGTCAGAACCAAAGTTCAGGCAGGAAGAGATTTTTCTTTCCCCCCTAGGAGTCCAGGACATGGGCATAGAGAAAATTAAGAAGCAGCCTAAGGCTGTCCTAGGGGAAGAGCCTCCGAACCAAAAGGGGAATGACAACTGCTCTAACTTGTGCCAGACTGAGGCTGCTTTTGGTTTACATCACCCTTTATTATAATGTGCGTTGAAATGAAGTTTCCTCACACAGTTGTGGAGATTAGTCTGGGCATTTGGACTTTGTGACTAGCAGGGAGCTAGGTTGGAGCAGAAGATTATGGTGGTCTGGAGAACCGTCTGCTTTTACTCCCAGATACTGACAGCAGAAAGTTGATTTGAGACCAGTGTCTGGGGCAGCAGCACTGCCTCATTTTGCCACTTCTTTAGTCATCTGACCTGGACTCTGATCTTCACATCATTCAGACCATTAGCAAGGGAACATGTGTTACATTTTTGAAATGAAAATAGCTTTACTTTATTCTCATTATCAAAATGATCCATGCTCATTGTAAGAAATTTAAATACAGGGAAAAGTATAAAGAATCAAGTAAATATTACCTGAAATCCCCATTTTGCACATCTTTCTGTGTGTATATACAGTATTACACCCGTACTTCTACTTAGATTGTATATAAATATTCTATACTAAAATCTGTTGTATATTACTTATCACATCAGATATTCTGGCTTAATCATACCATACCCCATGATCACTTTAAAATATACTATAATTTCCTTTTTAAAAAATGCTTTTAATAATGGTATCAGGGTAATGCAGACCTCATAAAAACAGTTGGGAAGTGTTCCCTCTTCTTATATTTTCTAGAATAATTTGCGTCAAAATAGTACTATTTCTTCCTTAAATTTTTCGTAGGATTCACTAGTCAAGCCATCCGGGCCTAGAGTTTTCTTTGTTGGAAGGTTTTTAACTATATAGTCAATTACTTTAATAGATATAGGGCAATTTAGGTTATCCTTGAATGAGCTTGATAATTTGTCTTTCAAGTAATTTGTCCATTTTATATAAGCTGTTGAATTTAGTGGCATAAGGTTGTTCATAGTATCCCCTTATCATCTTTTTTATGTATATAGGATCTGTAGTGATGTCTACCCTCACATTCTTGATATTGGTACCTTGTTTCTTCTCTTTTTTTTTTTTCCTGATCAGTCTTGTTAAAGGTTTATTAATTTTAGTTTCATTGATTTTTTTCTGAATTTTATGTTTGCGTTTTCATTGATTTTTGCTCTGTTTTCTTTCCTCTGCTTACCTTGGGTTTAATTTGCTCTTCTTTTTCTCGTTTCTTAAGATGGAAGCTTAGACTGTTTCTTTGAGACCTCTCTTCTTTTCTAAGTAACCATTTAATGCTGTTAGTTTCCCTCTTAAGTATTTCTTTAACTGCATATCACAAATTTTGTTGTGTTTTTATTTTCATTTAGTTCAAATTATTTTCCAAGTTTTTTATGATTTCTTT